AGCAGAGAGTCCCATTCTCAGGGGGACAGGTGCAGAAGCTCAGTGGATGTCCCTTCAGAGGCAATGTGGTCCTTGAGTTCTGGTGGGCCCCCCCAGAAGGTGTGCATGGCCTTATATATCATCATTTTGTGGTGTCATCCTAACATGACCAGTACACGACAGGATGAGCCAAGTCTGAATTTTTGGGGCATCAAGATGCCTTTGGCCATGTTTTGTGGCTCTACACGTGCATGTGGAGCCTAACGGCGGTCATCAGTCTTCTTGGGGGTCCTTACTTCCTAGCCCTTCCTTATCATCACCTCTAGGTGTCTTTGGTGGCTGTTTGGCAGTCAATCAAGGCTCATTATCCTTTTGTTTTCCTTAGCTGAAGTTTTCTTATCACTGCCTACTCCTTCTTTGCTCCAGTCCCACAGCCCAGCTGCACCTGCTGACTCCCTTCTCACTCCATTCCTGCAGGAGAGCTGCACCTGCTTTCTTTTATAGTCAGTTTGACATGGCCTGCTGCAGACCATCTCCACTTATAAGTGTCTTTGGACACAATGGGGCAACTTAGTTAACCCCATGGGCTTGCCATTAACCATTGGCCTGGCCAAGCCATCTATGTTCTTCTCCAGGACTGAGCCAGGAGGCTCATGCAGTGCAGTGCCACACATTTGCGACTCTGTGCATGGAGCATGATGCCAGGCATAGCAAATTAGCCCTGTGACAGCACTGCATTAATGCAAATATACTGCCTACCTCCTACCTTGCTGCAGCCAGTGTGGTCATCCCTAGGATCTGAGCATGAGCAGAGCTGGTCCCTTCAATGGGACCAATTCTGCCTGTTGGCTAACCATCACATGCAGGCTGAGAGTGAATTTACACAAAGTATGTTGAGGAGCAATCCTGTCATGAGGTCCATAACTGTATATGTGACTTTGATGCCTCAGAGGAGAGCAAGCAAGTTGGAGTTTGGTACTTTAAGACAAACAGAGAATTTCCTATTTCATCATGGTCATCTAAGTACTATTATGACATTACACTGTTTCTATTTCTTTTTGCTGAACATGGCCTGCATTAAACGCAAGAGTACTACATTAGTTTGCCATAAAAATCAATTGACATTTGAGTTACTGCTGTCTGGCACAAGTAAGCATACCAACAATGGAGAGCTACTGAAATCCCAAACATTACAGAAAGTCAAGTTACGACTTCTTCATCCTCCTCTCACCCTCCTTTCTGTTCCTCCCCTCCCACTGCCAGCCACATCATTTAGAAAGTTTAAAAATATTTCTCCTGAACTTAAGAGCCCAGAAATGTTTTGCCACATATACAATTATGCCCCATACCATAAAGCAGCCTATGGAAAAGCTGCACAGGTGAACTATAGCATACTCAAGGAATAATGCTGACTTAACAGTCCCCCAAAGGATATACACTAAAAGAATAGGCTGAAAATATAAG